TCCAAAGAGCCTTTCTCTCACTATTTGTAGTTTTTTTTTTCTTAATTAACAGACTTTATTTTTAAAGTAATTTTAGGTTTATAAAAAAGTTGAGCAGAAAGCAGAGTCCCCCCCTTGTCCCACACACCCTCCATTCTCCTCTATTATTCATATTCATCTTAGTTTGGTACATACGTTACAACTGATGAACCAGCACTGAGTAAAGTCCATAAAGTCAAGTCTACCTTAGGGTTCACCCTTTAACTTGCTGGGTTCCATGGGTTTGAACAAACGTATAATGTCATGTATCCATCATTGCAGTAGCATATAGAATAGTCCTATTGCCCTAGTCTGTTTTTAGCTTTTTAAAACTCATATATGTCTTTAGTATTCACATAAAAATGTGAAACGAGTCCCTAATGACATAATACTGAGTTCTATGTCATTTTATCTAAAGCTCATGAACCACATGACCCTCAATTTATAAATACCACGGCACTTAAAAGTTGATTTAAAAGATAAATTTGGGTACAGAAAGTCTTTGAAATCTATAAATAGTGTATTCGTCATATGCACTGTCCAAGAACTTCTTGAAGATTCCTTGTATGGTACCAACCCAGGGCACTACATTGGTATTTTGAGTTCCCTATGACATATGATGGACCAGAGGGGAAATATTAGCAGTTCTTAAACATCCCTCAAACCCATATTTGTGCTTATATTGCTTTCCAGTTTGTACTCTCACTCCTTGGTCCCAAAGGACTCTTTCCCCCAACATTCTTTAACGTTTTTATAAAGTTCTGGAAATTTTTCTCTACTTTACAATGCCTCCCAAGCTAGGCTATAAAAATTATAAACTACCAGTAGGTGCCACTGTCCAACAAACAATGTTTGTACATCACTTGGGCAGTTAGAGGTTCCCAATTGGCTATAAAGCTATCACTCCTTAAATCAGTAAAAAGATAACTGAAATGACATGCATTCAACCAACTTAGAACCAAGATATTTCTACTTTAGTTGCATATACATGACTGAAAAACTCAGTACACTTTTTAAAAATATATGAACTCTTTAGGAACAGAGATACTCTACTCTGGCTCATAAAAATACATGGCTCATGTTCAATGAGAATTTGTATCTGATAACTCTAAAGGAAATGTACTTTTTTTAGCCACCTCTGACCAGCCATATAGTATAAATAAATAGTAACATATTGTTCCCAAATTACTGGGTTCCTATTTTAGTTTTCAACATTTTTATAATACCCCTGCATTTGAGCCTATCACCAGTATTAACAATTGTGAGATGCAGCACTATTGGATATATCTAGCAACTTAGATGTCCATTCTCTAGTGTAAGTTTCATGGATCTAGAAATAGATAACTAAAATAACTCTAGACATTTTTCTAAGGGAGAAGAAATAAGGCTGTTGCCCAAAACTAGATCAACATTTTAACCAGAACAAATTTGCATGTTTTATGTTCGTGGAGGGAAGCGAAGAGAGAAATCAACTTCGTGCTAAACTGCACGTAGGAACACCTAGAGAACGTCTGCTGCCAAGTAGATGCCAAGCTTATGCAAGCATCTGTCAACAAGACTTCCTCCAAGTGGCAAACAAAAACCCCTCCAACTGAAAAAAGGGGGAGGGCCCAAACACATAAGGTCCCGCACAGCAATAAATGCAGTGCCTCACCATATATCAAAACTAAGGTGCACATAACTTTCGAGCACTGGCGGTTCCATCCTCGGGACTGCACACATGCATATGCCAATGTGTAAAATAATCCATATATAATTACTGTCATATCATCACAAGTTGTATCATAATAAATTATAAACAATCTAAATACCCATTAAGAGGCATCAAATTAAGTAAACTGACCCAGCTCCAAAACAGATAATACTATCTCAGCCATTAAAAGTGATACAGGGGGCCAGCGCTGTGGCATAGCAGGTAAAGCTGATGCCTGCAGTGCCAGCATCCCATATGGGTGCCGGTTCATGTCCCAGCTGCTCCACTTCTGATTCTGCTCTCTGCTATGGCCTGGGAAAGCAGTGGAAGATGGCCCAAGTCCTTGAGCCCCTGTACCCACATGGGAGATCCCCAAGAAGCTCTTGGCTCCTGGCTTTCAATAGGCACAGCTCCAGCGTTGCAGCCAATTGGGGAGTGAACCAGTGGATGGAAGACCTCTCTCTCTGCCTCTCCTCTCTTTGTGTAACTCTTTTAAATAAATAAATTTAAAAAAAAAAAAAGTGATACAGAAGTTAAAGACATCAAATATTTTGTGATCCCACATATATACAATGTCCTAAATAGGCAAATCGATAGAGACAGAAAGTAACTTGCTATTTGGCAGAACTTGGGGAGACTGGAGGGAAATGGAAGTGAATGGAAATGGGTTCAGGGATTTCTTTTAGGATAACAAAGATATTTTTAAATTTACTGTTGGGACAGACATTTTGCCTAACAATTAAGATATCATTTAGGATGCCTGCATCCTCTAACAGAGCATTTGGGTGTGGAATACCAACTCCACTAATTCCAGCTTCCTGCTAACATGCACCCTGGGTGGCAGCAGACAAGGACTCAAGTATTTTGGTTACCTGCCACCCTCCCCCTGGGGAGACCTGGACTGACTTTCCAGTTCCAGGGCATTTGGGAAGTAAATCAGCAAATGGAAGGTGTCTCTCTCTGGCTCTCAAAGATACATACATATATACTTTACTGTGATGAACAATTCTGTAACTGTATTAAAAACACTGAATTATACACTTTGAGTAAACAGTATGTATGTTAATTATAGTTCCACAAAGTTGTTATTTTAATTATTTTATTTGAAAGGCAGAGGGACAGAAATCTTCCATCTATTGGTTCACTCCCCAAATGTCCATAACAGCCAGGGTCAGACTAGGTCTAAGCCAGGTGCCAGGAACTCAATCTAGGTTTTCCAAGCTTCAGAGACTGAAGTACTTAAGCTATCATCTGCTGCTTCCCAGGTTGTAAATTAGCAGGAAGCTAGATCTGAAGCAGAAGAGGTAGGACTTGAACCAGGCACACTGATATGCAATGTGGGTGTCCCAACTAGCAACTTAACCACTGTGCTAAATGCCCTTCTCCAATGTTATTTTTAAAAATGAAATAGCTCTAGAAGGAATAATATGGAATGATCTCCAAGATACATCATTCTATGAATAAAAATGAGGTATAGAGTATTATGATAGTCTAATAATGTGTAGTCCTTAAATATACTTTTATATATATATACATGCACACACACATACACACTTTATTGGCTACATATGATACAGACAATAAACTTGTTAATAATGGTTGCTTTTAAGGAAAGTAACCGGATGTCTAGAGAAGACTTCATGTTATGCCTTTGTGAAACTTTTGAATTCATATAATATGCATGATTTATTCAAAACATATATTTTAAAGGCAATAAATGTATTACTGGTTCAATTTATCAAACATTCTTTTTCTCATGTTCAATATTTTCTAGCCAGTAAGATTTATGACGAGAAGTTTAAAGTACAAGTCGAGGGGACGGCACTTTGGCGTAGTGGGCTAAGTGTCCACCTGCCATGCCAGCATCCCATATGGGTGCCAGATCGAGTTTCAGCTGCTTTATTTCCGATCCAGCTCTCTACTATGGACTGGAAAAGCAGCAGAAGATGGCCCAGGTCCTTGGGTCCCTGCACCCACATGGAAGACCCAGAGGAAGCTCCTGGCTCCTGGCTTTGGATCAGCCCAGTTCTGGCCATAGCAGCCATTTGAGGAGTGAACGAGTGGATGGAAGATCTTTCTGTCTCTCCCTCTATCTGTAACTCTGTCTTACAAATAAATAAACCTTAAAAAAAAAAAAAAAAGTACAAGTCGAGGGACCAGCGCTGTGGCACGGTGGGCTAAGCTTTCACCTGCAGTGCTGGCATCCCATATGGTCGCCAGTTCGAGTCCCAGCTGCTACTTTTCAATCCAGCTCTCTGCTATGACCTTGGAAAGCAATGGAAGATGGCCCAAGTGCTTGGGCCCCTGCACCCACGTGGGAGGCCCAGAAGAAGCTCCTGGCTCCGGATCGGCCCATCTCCAGCTATTGTGGCCATTTGGGTAGTGAACCAGAGGATGGTTCTCTCTCCGTCTCTCCCTCTGTAATTCTACCTCTCAAATAAATAAAATCTTTTAAAAAAATAATCAAGAATCCCTTATTCAATATGCTTAAGATCAGTAGTTTTTCAGATTTTGTAATATTTGTATACACTTATGAACAAAGCTAACCCCAAAATCTGAAATCCAAAATGCTCCAAATGCCAAAACTTTTTTTCTTGTTTTTAAAGATTTTTATTTATTGGAAATAAATAAATAGATAAATAAATAGAGAGAGAGAGGTCTTCCATCCACTGGTTCACTCTCCAAGTAACCACAACAGCCGGAGCTGAGCCAATCTGAAGCCAGGAGCCAGGAGCTTCTTCCAGGTCTCCCAGGTGGGTGCAGGGGCCCAAGGACTTGGGCCATCTTTTACTCCTTTCCCAGGCCATAGCAGAGAGCTGGATCAGAAGAGGAGCAGCCGGGACTAGAACTGGTGCCCATGTGGGATACCTGCATTTCAGGCTAGGGCTTTAACCCACTGCGTTACAGTGCCGACCCCCAAAACTTTTTTTAAAAAAGACTTATTATTTATTTGAAAGGCAGAGTAACAGAGAGGGAGAGGCAGAGAGAGCAGAGAACTCTTCCTTCCCCTGGTTCACTCTCCAAATGGCTGTAAAATGATCTCTAACATCCTCTCCTCAAGTCATTTCATAATTAGTGCAAAATTTAAAAGTATTTCATATATAACAGAAGGTACAAAGAATTTTTTTTCTAGTCACCAGTTCATTACTTGATTCTGCACAATCATTTCTGAACTATTTTACACAGACGTCAATGATGACTACAAGCAATGGGCCGATTAATGGCTTCCTTCTCTATAAAACAAAAATCCTAATCAATAGAGCTTTTTAATAAATAAGTTTTCACTGACCTGGTGCAACTACATTCACTCTAATTTTCTTTCTTGCTACTTCTTTGGCAAGAGCACGTGAAAATCCAACTAATCCTCCTTTACTGGCACTGTAAACAGACTGGCCAGAATTGCCTTTTAAGCCAATAATACTTCCTGGGGGAAAAAAAAGCAAATTCAAATCAATTAATAAGATTTTTTGGAAATTCACACAATATATAAAATCAAACCAAAAAACCTAAGACCCAAATTCTTTGCTAAAATTAGGAACTCTAGGGGCCATGCTATGGCATAGTAAGCTAAGCCTCTGCCTGCAGCACCAGCATCCCATATGGGTGACGAGTCGACTCCTGGCTGCTCCTCTTTTTATCCAGCTCTCTGCTTATGGCCTGGGAAAGTAATCAAAGATGGCCCAAGTGCTTGCAACTCTGCGCCTACATGGGAGACCTGAAAGAAGCTCTTGGCTTCAGATCAGCTCAGCTCAAGCTATTGCAGCCATCTGGGGAGTAAACCAGCAGATGGAAGACCTTTCTGTCTCTCCCTCCCTCTGTAATTCTGATTCTCAAATAAATAAATAAAATATTTTTTAAAAAAATTAGCAACTTTAATCATTGCCATTTGAGTAATAAGACTTAAAAGAATCCTAGTCTGCTCCAAACACTAACAGAAAATAAGATCTGGAAAAAAAAATGATATAAAATAAATGCCAGGGGGCTGGCGCTGTGACACAGCAGATTAACGCCCTGGCTTGAAGAGCCAGCATCCCATATGGGTGCTGGTTCGAGACCCAGCTGCTCCACTTCTGATCCAGCTCTCTGCTATGGCCTGGGAAAGCAGTAGAAGATGGCCCACGTCTTTGGGCCCCTGCACCTGTGTGGGAGACCTGGAAGAAGCTCCTGGCTCCAGATCAGCGCAGCTCCGGCCATTGCAGCCAACTGGAGAGTGAACCAGCTGATGAAAGACCTTTCTCTCTCTCTGCCTCTCCTCTCTCTGTGTAACTCTGACTTTCAAATAAATAAATCTTTAAAAAATAAAATAAATGCCAGTCAACGGGCTTACAAACCGACCCATTAAGTGAAAGAGACCCACTCTACTCTGAGGTTTATACATGACTTGAATTCTGCAGTGTCATAAAAGGCTTCCTGGGGCCAGCAGGTTAACACCCTGGCCTGAAGCACTGGCATCCCACACAGGCACCAGTTCGAGACCTGGCTGCTCCACCTCCGATCCAGCTCTCTGCTATGGCCTGGGAAAGCAGTAGAAGATGGCCCACGTCTTTGGACCCCTGCACCTGTGTGGGAGACCCAGAAGAAGCTCCTGGCTCCTGGCTTTGGATTGGCGCAGCTCCGGCCGTTGCGGCCAATTAGGGAGTGAACCATCAGATGGAAGACCCCCCTCCCCGCCTCTCCTCTGTCTGTGTAACTCTGACTTTCAAATAAATAAATAAATAAATCTTTTAAAAAAGGCATCCTCGGCGCCATGGCTCAGTTGGTTAATCCTCTGCCTGCGGCACCAGCATCCCATATGGGCGCCGGGTTCTAGTCCTGCACCCGTATGGAAGACCAGGAGGAAAGCACCTGGCTCCTCGCTTCAGATTGGCGCAGCACCGCCCATGGCAACCATTTGGGAAGTGAACCAACGGAAGGAAGACCTTTCTCTCTCTCACTGCCTAATGCTGTCAAGAAAAAAAAAAAAAAAAAGACATCCTGCAGAATGAAGTGAATGCCAGAAACAAAGTCTGATGAATTTTATGATTCAACAACAATAAGCAATCACTTCCACCTTAAAAAAAGCAGTTCACTTGAAGGCAAGTCTCAGTAAATTTGAAGTACTGTTAATCTAAATTGATACAGCTTCAATGATAAACTTTCTGTAAAAGAACAATTTCATTACTTCCAGTGATGTATTATAACTTTTAGGGCCTACTAAAGATTTTTAAGTGACCTCCTTTAATGAGTATATAATAAATTATAACTCAAATATCAACCTGTTTGTAAATAAATGCTTGCAAAACAGAAGTGAGGAGGTAATTTTCTGCACCAGTGACTTGTGCTTATGATACAAAAAGTAATCAAGAGCCTCATAAAAAATGTTTAAGAATTTTAGAAAAACATTCCATTTTTATTACAATCAAAAAGCCTAACATTAAAATATTTATATTATATATTATATACTGGTTAATTGCAAAGCGAGAAAACTGAGAAGCACAGAGACAAAAGACATCAGTCTGAGGAAATGCAGGCAAAGAAACAGGTATCTGCAAGAAAGAGTTTTTTTTAAAAAATGAAAGGAAAATTCAAGCACTGGAGAAAGGCCAAATAAGAAACTTTGGTTCATGCTGCAAACTGTTGCTCATCCTCTCAAAAAGTGGTAACTCCTGAAATACCAATGCCATTTCTAGCAGTGTTCAGTAATCTTTTTCTGTAATAAGATCCTCATGATTTATTTACACATTTTTTATTTACTTTCAGCATAATTGCATGTATCTGAAGAACTGATTTGGGTTTCTTAAATATACCTAGATTTGTAAACAAATACACTCTCTCATGTTACCAGGAACAGACACAGGTTTGTGTTTCAGCTTGTAAGAACCCAAGGTCATTATCTGGCTGTGTCAGAAGCCAAAGTTCAACTCATCCATTAATATCTTATTTTAAAAAAAATCTTTCTTTGTAATTCATGTTTATTTTCCTCTACTTAAAAGGCAGAGCAAGAGAAAGGGACAGACAGACAGACAAACATCTTCCACCAACTGGTTCACTCTCCAAATGCCTACAATAGCCAGGGCTGGGCCAGGCTGAAGCCAGGAGCCAAGAACTCCATGCAGGACTCTCACATGGGTGGCAGGGACCCAAGTACTTAAGCCATCACCTACTGCTTCCCAGGCACTTTAGCAGGGAGCTGGACGTGAAGAGGAGCAGGTGGGACTTGAACCAACATTCCAAAATGGGATGTGTACATGATAAGCAGTAGCTTAAGCCACTGCGCCACAATGCCTGCCCTATCCTTTACATTTTTAAAGCATAAATGTCAAAAATGTCCTAAAATCCTCTAAGTTCATTAGTATTCTTTTCTCATTTTCAAAACTGAAAACACCAAACTCTGGCTTGGAAAGCCATTCCTATAAAAAGAATACAGTCATTTCCTTTAATGGAGCAGCATTCCTCTTCTGTGGCCTTTATAAGGTATTATCACTTGAAAATAAAAAGCAGATGGTATGACGCTATTTTGAAATTAGCAAAGTAAGATTTCAGGTCATTGTGCATTTTTAGTTCTACAGTACATACGCCACGATTTATCTAACCCATGGGGCAGATAAACTGATGGCTAATGGCTATTTACAACCATTCTAAAAAACTGAAATAGTTTAACTTCCTTTAAGTCATTCTCACTAGCTTTATCAGTGACCCATGCAACTGCTGTAAACATTCATTAGCCCCTGTCTGTATTTTTTTAATTCCTTATAAATATTTGTACTATTATGGTTTCAAAGAAAAATTGAGATGTCCAATTCTTCTTAAAAAAACAAAACTGCTGGCAAAAGTGGGGCCACAATGATACACAATAACAGTCTATTGGACCGGAGCAGTGTTGGCCTCTCCCATGCATACATCCTTCATACACTGAGCCTGGACACCTTTTTCTCATTTGTCATGTGGCTTGTATGGTCATTTTTCGAATACCTGATGGTGTCCTTCACTTAACATTTGCCTGACCTCTACAGGGATGTGAATCTGTGCTCCTGTTTTATTCATTAATCAGCTAGTTAAATCTTTTTCCATAAATAATACAAAGATAAATTCCATTTGTCTTTCTTACGTGAATAAATTCCAAGCTAAAGGATTAAAACTTTATGGCACTGGTATAATCGGAAACTCAGAGATGAAACTCACCCACGTTGACAATGGACCCTCCCTGCTGCTGAATCATAGTCCTCATGGCAGCTCTGCATGTCAGCATGGACCCCAAGAGGTTGGTATGAAGCTGAGAGACCAGATCTTCAGTTTTTGTTCTCACTAAAAGACCATCCCTACACACACACACACACACACACACACGAAAAAAAGGCATGTAAGTAAGAGTCTACAAAACAAAAGCAGGGATCCAAAGAAACTGAGACATAACATTCTGACCAAAAACAGCCTAAGATCTGCTTCGTATCTTAGCTTGAACACCAATAGGGTCCCACTTTGAATTTCACTTGCAAGGCTCTTAAGTTAACAGCTGATGAGCCAGAAAGGATCCATTAAAAAATTTAAAAAATTAAAATTTTTTTTAAAAAGGATCCATGCAGAAGGCAGATTTCTACCCCCTTCAGCTATAGAAGCAAATACTTTTTTTTTTAAGATTTATTTATTTATTTGAAAGTCAGAGATACACAGAGAGGAGAGGCAGAGAGAGAGAGAGGTCTTCCATCCACTGGTTCACTCCCAAGTTGGCTGCAACAGCTGTAGCTGCGCCGATCCAAAGCCAGAAGCCAGGAGCCAGGAGCTTCTTCCGGGTCTCCCACGCGGGTGCAGGGGCCCAAGGACTTGGACCATCCTCTACTGCCTTCCCAGGCCATAGCAGAGAGCTGGATCGGAAGTGGAGCAACCGGGACTAGAATCTGCACCCATATGGGGTACTGGCGCTTCAGGTCAGGGCGTTAACCCGCTGCACCACAGCACTGGCCTCACAAATAATTCTAACTGCTGAAAGTATACTATGTAAACAAACAAGTTTAGCCTGAGCAACTGCCATACTGCACCTTGTTTAGCAAGAAAATTAGTATTATCCTAAATATTTTCTCCTAGATTTATCATTTAAAAAAAATACTGACTCCATTAGTACTAGGTTCATGAACTGGCAAAACTTAATAGGCTGGCACCGCAGCTCACTAGGCTAATCCTCCGCCCATAGCACCAGCACCCCAGGTTCTAGTCCTGTTTGGGGCGCCGGATTCTGTCCCGGTTGCTCCTCTTCCAGTCCAGCTCTCTGCTGTGGCCCGGGAAGGCAGTGGAGAATGGCCCATGTGCTTGGGCCTTGCACTCACATGGGAGACCAGGAGGAAGCACCTGGCTCCTGGCTTCGGATCGACGCAGCACGCTGGCCATTTGGGGGGTGAACCAAGAGAAAAAGGAAGACCGTTCTAACTCTGCCTGTCCAAAAAAAAAAAAAAAACAAAACAAAAACAAAAACAAAAAACTTAATAGACACAGAACTCAGAATGGTAGAATGGTGGCTACCCATAAGGAAGTATTAACTGAGAAGAAATTAGGAGAGCCTTATCAAGTGGTGGGAAAGTCCTACTGCTCATATGGGTGGTGACTACAATGCTAAAATTGACCAAACTTATTTGACACTTATTATATATCTCAGTTATTGACAAAGATCATGAATTCACCAAGTTTTAAAATGCATAGTCTTGGGGCTGTCTCTGTGGCATAGCAGTTAAGACCACTGCCTACAGCACCGGCATCTCATGTGGGCACTGGTTTGAGTCTTGGATGCTCTTTCAATCCAGCTCCCTACTAATGCACCTGGGAAAGCAGAAGATGGCCCAAGTACTTGGGCCCCTGCACCCACATCAGAGACCAGAAGCTCCTGACTTCAGCCTGGTCCAGCCCTGGTCATTGCAGCTATTTGGGGAGTGAAACCTCAGATTCTCTCTCTCTGTGTCTCCCCTCTATCTCCGAAACTCTGCCTTTCAAATAGATTAATTTTTTTAAAATGCCTAGTTTTTCTTTCAGTTGTACATAAAACATAACTGCATTAAAATGCATACTTTCTTCCAATTAGAAGTGTAACATAATTGATGTGTAAGCATATACTAAGCAAAGACCTATCTGGAAAAAAAAAAGACATTAGAAAGTTACTGAAATTTATGACCCACCTGTTAATACCAGCTGCATTTACCAGGAAATTCACTTGACCTAAGTGTTTCTCCATCTCTTCAAATGTATGTTGAACATCATGTTCTTTAGCCACATCACAGCTGAGTGCCAAATGATCTCCTACACAATGGGTCAGAATTACAAACAAATTATACCTTCGTTTTCACATTTACTCCATACGTTTGTTAAACATCATCTGTATGGCAGACTCGTGCTAAACCAAGAGGTAAGAGTTCAGCATGTGATGAGCTCCCGCTCTCAGACTCACCTACAGAAGCTGAGCTGAGGATAGTGGGGAACAAGAAATAAAGTATTACTGCAGGAAGTTCATTTGAAAACTGCTTCTAATCAGCTAAAGTGGGGGAGACCTTTTTCAGTTCATAATGCTTTGTAAAATACATCTAGTAATATTTATGGTTTTAACAATGAACTCACACTACCCAATTCAGCAATTTTCTGGTATTGGACTTTATATTGTTTTTGAAATCCATGTCTAAGAGTGTTGGGATTTTTTGTTTGGTTGCTGTCTTGTCCTGAGCGTGAACTCCACAGTGTCTCACCGTTTTTTAACTGCTACAAATCCACAATGGCACATTTAATGGCCATTATGCCAGCCTAACCATTAAAAGAGGAGACGGCAAATAGTTGTTAAAAAATTAAAAGCAATTGTTAACTCTCAAAAATGTCCACTTTTCAAAATGTTCAAATGCCAAAAGCATGACATTTGAAAGCAAAACAAAACATTCCCATTTAATAACAGAGGTGCTCCTGGACTTATGGTGTGGTCCCATCTGGATAAACTGAAAATATTCTGAACTGAAAATGTACCTAATGTACCCAACCTGCTGAATATCATAGCTTATTGACTCTGTGTGGTACAGTTTTTTACCCTCGTCATCCCACAGCTGACTGGGAAGTGACAGTAACTGCCAATGAAGAGTACCATACCACTGACCACTAGCCTAGAAAAAGTTCAAAATCCAAAATTTGAAAGAGGGATTCCACGGGATGTCTGTTGCTTCCTCACCATTTTAAATCTTTAAAAAAAAAAAAAAAGGTTAATAGGGGACTATCTGTACTCTAAGATGTTGGATCTGGGGGCTGGTGTTGCGGAGCAGCAGGTAAAGCCACCACCTGCTATGCCAGCATCCCAAAAGGCGCTGGTTCAAGTCCTGGCTGCTCCACTTCCAATCCAGCTCCCTGCTAATGGCCCTTGAAAACAGCCAAGGCAGGCCTCGGTACTTGGGTCATTGCAACTAAATGGCTTCCACCTGGCCCAGCCCTAACGATTGCCACAATTTGGGGAGCGAACCAACAAATCGAAGATCTGTCTCTCATTCTCTCTTTAATTCTGCCTTTTAAGTAAATAAGTAAACCTTAAAAATATAATAAGATGTAGAATTTTTCAAACTGCCAATTTTCTGCCTGAACTTGCCATATGTGGATCCTAACACTACACCCTCAGGCCTTTGGAAACAGTAAGTCACTTGAGAAATCACATTCTCTAGGTAAAAATCAAACACAGCACACATAATTCAAAGCATCACTTTAGGCTTTCACATAAAGACTTATTGGGCTCACAGCCACCCTTGAACGCTCAGCCAGATTATTAACCTTGTCCGACGCACATGGATGTCCTGGGGTGACTAGTAAAAAGCTCTACTTTCTCTCTTGTCAGAATTGCAATGAACATGAGCTGCAAGAAGCATTCATTGAAATGGGCCATAAAATCAACAACGTTATTTTAAACCTAGGAGCCAGCAGCAGGGACTCTGGCACAGCCGCACCTTGCGTCAGTGGCATCCCACATGGGAGTGCCAATTTGAGCCCCAACCGCTCTGCGCATCTGCCTGAGATACAGCAGGTGAGGGGCCGAGGACCTGGACCCCCGCCACCAACCTGGGGAGACCCGGATGCAGCTCTGGCTCCGGGCTTTCACCAGGCCCAGTTCCTGTTACAGGCACTTGGGGAGTGAACCCGCAGATAGGTTACTCTGCCTTTCAGATAAACAAACAAACCTTTTAAAAAATAAAACAGCCACCAAAATACATCCCGACCTCTATTCTCCCCAGTGTCTCCCTGCCAGTAAAAGCCGTTTGCTTCTGTCCATTACAGTACCTAAAGAAATAGCATCATCTTAGTATCTTTCTAATACCCAACGTCTCCCACTACCAAGACCGCAATTCGCCGAACCAGACTGATTCACTGTTAATAAGCAGAAAAAGGTTTAAGTTTGGATGCAATACAAGAATCCGGCCAAATTTCGATTGTCCCACTGACCCAAACAATGTTATCACTCATCAAAGTTTGCTTAGGGATGTAGGCAAGCCAGCCAGGCCTACTCAAAACCGGCTGGGACTCAAAAGGGGTTTCTCTTTGAAACACAGCTTTGTAGGTTCGCACAAGAGCACAAACTGCCCTCAGCAGAAAGCAAGCGAGCAGTCCACACCTGGCCCACCCACCTTTCCTGCTGGAACGGCGCCCGCCCAGCGCCCGGGAGCCAGTCCTACCAGACTCCTACCAGACGCCAAAACAAAGCTGCTTCTCACGGTTAACACGAGCCGCAGTGCTTAGTAGAGGGACTCTACAAAGACTGCAACGTCTCAAAGAAATACCCAAGTGCTCAGTCCTGGGCGGCCGGCAGCGGGCATTCTGAGAGGCACCGCGAGGCAGGCAGGGGCCGCCCAAGCCGCCCTCGGGCCCGGGGAGCACCTGCCGCACGCGGCTGACTCGCTACACCTGCGAGCGACCACCGCCAGACTCGCTCGCTTCTGGACTCCAGTCGGGTACCTACCGCCGAGCTCGGCGGCGGCGGCCTTAGCCGCTTCCAGATTTCTGGCGATGAGAGCCAGTCGGTAGCCCTTTGGGGCCATTAACTGGGCCACCGCCCTGCCAATGCCCCGCGAGCCCCCAAAAATCGCACAGACTTTGTTCATCTTGGACCCGGCAGTCGCAAACTCGGAGGAGAGAAGAGAGCTACAAGCCTGGCCCCTCTCAAGTTCCCTCGGGCTTTTAAACAACCGCGGCTCCAGAAAATTTAGAAAGGTCAAGTCGCTACAAGAAGACCCCCTCTCCACGCCTACAGCCTGCCTGTCTCCAACGACCCAGGAAGCTGCGGACAAGCGCTTAACACGGCCAAAGCACGCTCACGTGGGCACGCATTGACTCCCAGGCGTCAGCGCGCCGACGTCAGCACGCACGGACTCCCGGGGCTGTCCTGGAGGACGCGACCTGAGAGCCCGACCCACAAAGGACGATCCCGAAAGGCGGTGCCTCGCTGCATGCTGGGACTTGAAGTCTTGACGCGAGAAGCCCAGAAGCGCGTGCGCACTGCTGAGTGGGCCCGGTCCTAGCCTGTGTCTCTCCCCTGCGACTTAAAGGCGGGCGTTGGCCTTAGAGTTCCTGTGACCGGTCGTCTTTGTTGGTTGGGAATTAGCAGGATAGTCAGGACTCAACTTTCCCAGGCAAGCCGAGACCAATTGATCTGCGTAATTAGCACTTAAGTGCTGCACTGTGAGGCGTGGGCTACCTTTCACCCTGATTTTACCTTTGGCTGCAGACTTGAGGTTCTGCCTGTTGAAGGAGCGGTTCCCGAGTGTCAGACCCACACAACACCTCTCCTGCCGGTTCCTTCGCCACGTTGCTGCAGAGACGGGCCTCTTGTCTCCCGCATGCCCCTTAAAGGGTGTTGTGAAGACGAGTGCAGAAGCTCCAAGAATGTTAATTGAATGAATAGACTTTCAAGGACGATTTAGCAAGCTCAGGCTGCTGAGTGTAGACAAACGAAATGGGCCCCTGTCATCCCAAATAAGATGTGCTGAGTGCTGTAAAAATGGGTGACATGTGTTAGAATTATGACCCAGAAAGGAAGCATTGCTTATACAGAAACTTTGCGCTAACTGGGTCCCTACCACTAAAAAATATGTAACTAAGAAAACAGGACTGATACTCATGAAACCCTAGGGAGCATCCTCAAAATCATATTTAATAAAGAGCAAAATTATATTAACACAAGAACTCAAAGAAACAATAGGTCAATAAAGAATGAAAGTGCTTGGAAAAGTTGGGCTTGAGGGTTACGTGAGGTTTAGGGGAAAAAGGGAATGGCAGACTATAAGAAATTGGGCATTATGTTTCAATTTTTTTATTCCACCTAGATTTGAAGATATAAACCACTTGCAAAATGCAAGCCTAAATGATTTTAAAAGGCAAAGAGGAAGGGCCCGCACTGTGGCGTAGTAGTTAAAGCCGCCGCCTGCAGTGCCGGCATCCTATATGTTCGCCAGTTTGTGTCCCAGTTGCTCCACTTTCTATCCAACTCTCTGCTGTGGCCTGGGAAAGCAGTGGAAGATGGCCCAAATCCTTGGGCCCCTGCACTCACCTGGGAGACCCAAAAAAAGCTCCTGGCTCCTGGCTTCAGATTGGCGCAGCTCTGGCCTGCAGCCAACTGGGGAGTGAACCAGCGGATGGAAGACCTCTCTCTGCCTCTCCTTCTCTATCTGTATAACTATGACTTTTTTTTTTTTTTTAATTTTTATTTTTGATAGGCAGAGTGGACAGTGAGAGAGAGAGAGACAGAGAGAGAAAGGTCTTCCTTTTTTGCCGTTGGTTCACCCTCCAATGGCCGCCGCTGCAGCCGGCGCACCGCGCTGATCCGATGGCAGGAGCCAGGATCCAGGTGCTTTTCCTGGTCTCCCATGGGGTGCAGGGCCCAAGCACCTGGGCCATCCTCCACTGCACTCCCTGGCCATAGCAGAGAGCTGGCCTGGAAGAGGGGCAACCGGGACAGAATCCGGTGCCCCGACCGGGACTAGAACCCGGTGTGCCGGCGCCGCAAGGTGGAGGATTAGCCTATTGAGCCACGGCGCCGGCTCTAACTATGACTTTCAAATAAATATTTTTTTAAGAAAAAAAGGCAAAGACTATGCTCACCCCTCCTCCTTCCCCAAATATAAATTTCTGTAAGATACAAACATTCTGGTTGTGCAACAGAGACATCTGTGAAAAATTCCCTTCTTAGCCTTTTAAGGTGTACAATACCCGTAAATAGACAATATTTTTCATGTAAGTGGAGGAAGAGGACAGGCACTTTGGAATATCCACAACCCATTTTAGAGTGCCTAGGTTCAAGTACTGGCTCCAGCTCTTGATTCTAGCTTCCTGCCAGTGCATACCCTGTGTGCCTGCAGATGATGGCTCAAGTATTTGGGTCCTTGCCACCCACATGGGAGACCTGAAATGAATTTTAGGCTCCCAGCTTCAGTGTGGCCCAGTTCCAGCTGCCTAGACATTTGCAGAGTGAACCTACTAATGAGAATATCTATCTCTCTCCCTCTCTCAAATAAGTAAAAAAAAAATTTTTTTAATTACATTGTAAAAATGCTTTCACTAACTTTATAGCATCTGTTAGACTCTACTAAAAACAAATGCAATAAGAAGGTAAACAATATAAGAAAAATTCACAGAGACAAGAATGACTTCACACTTGTATATCTGAAACAATGAGGCAACAAGCCTGACTACAAGACAGCTGGGACGGTGCTGGGTTACAGCAGGTTGTAAAGCCAGACACAAGCATTGAACAGGGAGGCACCTTTAATTCCAGAAAAAGATGAAAGTTCTGCCTCAGAACCTTTAGTCTAGCAGCGCTAGAAGGATGGTTGGACCAAATGTGTCTAAGTCCCTCCCCAAACACACAGCCAGATGCAATCTTGGACAGGAAAAGCTATTTCAGACAAATTACCGATATATGGGTCAATATACATCCCACTTGTATTCCAGGCATCTAGCATCTTAGAGCAAACCAAAGAAGTTTAATCTTGTGGAAAATTCCTCCATTTTATGGGAAAAGCATTGTTTGCTTTCTACACATTGTTATTTTAGCAAAGACAAATGATTTTCAGATCTATGCCATCTATCACAAAGATCATTAACACTGATGTGAGGTGACATTCAAAATTCTCCCAACCTTCCATCTTTTCTCACTGTGAATATACAATAAATGAGTAGGTTAGGCTTTTCCCTCAATACATACTCAGTTTTAACCCCAAGACTATTATCTATTTTTTCCCTCAATAAAATATCACTACTACTCTTGGTGAGAATACACCCTTCACAACATATCAGCCATAGCTGCAGGGGTTATTGGCAAGGTAACACTCCCCTAATCCTCTGATACTAAAGTGAGGGTCTGCAAATTAAACTGGGTCTCCCTTATCTAGTGGGACATTAAAGCAAGCCATTAGGGTACCTACCTTTAGTCTTTTCTTCTTACTAAATATGTCACTTTTGTGGTAATATTTTGAGCATAATTTACCCTTCAATTTAAATCCACAACAGATTTCTTTTCCCTTGGTTCCAAAAATCAAAGGAGAAAATTCCTCAGGTAAAAGAACTGTAAAATTTTTAAACATACATTCCTTGTATTTTTTATTTATAAAAGGAATACCAGTCAATTGCCAAAAAATTTCAAAGAAACCAACAATTTAAAGAAAAGATAATTTAATTGGAAGCATTGCATAGTTTAAATGGATGAATTGTATGGTATATGAATTGTATATCAATAGAACTGTAATTAAAATTTAAATTGAAAGCCCTGTTATATGAAGCTTCAATTTCCAACTAATATGCAAGAGATTGTACCATTCATGGCTATGTTTATCAGGTCAAGGTTTATAATGCCTAAGATTCCAAATGCAGCCAGGCATCACAGAATGACAGGGATACCTTCTGAGAGAGGCATCGTTAGGCAATTTCATCATCGTGCAAGCACCCTAGATTGCCCTTCCACAAACTAACATGGCTAGGACATCACTGGGGGATATAATCTTGGGGAATCACCATCCCATATGCAGTCTGCAGTTGATCAAATGTCAGAATGTGTTTATTCCTGTATAAGGAAAACTTGCATATAAGAAACTAATAATTATGATTTAACATTTCTTGAAAAGTCCTCTTTATATAAGGTACTATACTAAGCACATCTAGCTTAGCAAATCCGTAATTAAACCATCACTCTTCCTGCCAAACAAGCAATCTTTAAGGATCCTTTAGGCAATGATGGGTAATCAGCATTATCCAGACTTCACGTGGCCAAACTCGCTTCTCAATGCAGTCCACACTCTTATTTCAAGAAGAAAGTTTAGATCATTGCCTCATCATGACTGCACAGTTATATCTTCATGATTAAGAAGCAGTGTTGATATTCTTCTATCCAATCTGCTGCATAACCTAAGTTTTCAGGAATGTAATTTTAAAAATTTATAAAAGACGATTTCAGGAGCCCATGTTTTGGCATAGTGGGCAAAGCTTACGCTTGCGAAGCCAGCATCCCATATGGGTGCTGGGTTCTAGTCCTGGCTGCTCCTTTTTCAGTCCAGCTCTCTGCTATGGCCTGGGAAAGCAGTGGAAGATGGCCCAAGTACTTGGGCCGCTGCACCCATGTGGGAGACCTGGATGAAGCTCCAGGCTCCTGGCCTCTACCTGGCCCAGCCCTGGCTGTTGCAGCCATCTGGAGAGTGAACCAACAGATGGAAGTCTCTCACTCTCTCTCTCCCTCTCTCAGCAACTCTGCCTTCAAATAAATAAATACTTCTCTTAAAAATATTATTTCATTTTGAATGAAAAGTGGCTGGGAGCACTTTTATCTTGTTGAATTCGCATTCATGCCTAAGAGGCTGCCCATAGAGACCTTGTAAACTGAGCACTGTCATGCACTTGGCCACCTCCGGCACCACCTCAGAGTTTGTCCCTACCTTCTCTCACACACCTCACTCCCAGTCACAACATCCTGCGGATTCTCCACCCTAACCCTCACTACAGCCTACACCCTCTTCCTATCGCCGGCTCTTTGTTTAGGCCCTGGAGCCTGAAGGACTGAGACAGAATGTCCACCATTCTCCAGAATTCACCACCCCAAGGGTTCCCTCTAAAATACAAATCTGATATTTGTAGGTTCTTCACAAAGCCATGATATAGCTCCCCATCAATCACAGGATAAAGCAGGGTCCTCCCTGACCTAATTAGCTGTCCAGTGTCGTCCCCCACTTCTACATCACACATTCTCAGCTCTCCAAGGTACTTGAAGTTTTCTCACACATCCATGCATCCCCAGACTCTGTCTTCTCAACCTCTGCTGCTCCCAC